GGCGCAATTTGTTCTAAAAATAGAATTATTGTCCCATATCATAGGGACAGCCCCAATACTAGAAATGGCGTGCGCTTACGGTCTCCGTCCCCGATTATGGCTCCTGATCTCATGCATGACGGTCCGAATTTTTAAAAGAATAAGAAGATCTGTATGGAAAACGTTGCTGGAGAGCAAGACCTTGTTCTCCAGCAACATTTTACAAAGAAATCCTCTAAATTTTCCGAAAATGCAAACCGTCGTATAAACTTACTCTTTAATTCCAAGGGCCTCAAACTTGGCCATTTAGGTATTTTCGATGCGCTCCTTCCATTTCTGGCATTCTTTAAGTTATAGCCCATAATACAAAAAGTTTCTAAGAAAAATTTGGCCACGTGACCCCAGCTGCAAAGGGCCTATTTTTGCATCCGGTTTACACCCTCACAGAGAAGTAAACGTACGAACCTATGCCATATTCAGCTGTGACTGAAATGATGTAGTTCCCACACATTCATTCGTTGCTGCGACTCTCTCCTTTCTCGATCCACTAATTATAAGTGGACTGTTTCGCATTTTTCGTATCGAGGTCTTGCCGGTTTTACAGCAGGCAATTGCAATGTGATAAACGAGAAAAAAAATGTACGTCCGTAACGGCGGATAGCAGGTGAAAAATATCGTGAACAAGGTGCATCGCTCGGAATAGAGATTCTGACTGCAATCTGTAAAGTAACAGAACTTGGTAAATAATTAACTGATACTTAAAGCCACGGCTCGTTGCTTCTTGTGTCATAGGTGAGAGCCTGGAAACCGTTCTGTTTACTCCAGATATCACCTGCTAGAAATTTCTTCTTCAAACTCTCTTTTGTGCTACGTGTGAATATCGAATGCGACTCAGAACACAACCTACTAGATCTTTCTGCATTTCCGATTTTCAAAATGTTTGTCTTTATATAGATAGTATGTTGAGGCTTAATTATTTTACCTTGGAATTCTTTGAGCAAATTTATATATTCCCTTGTTTATTCCCTTGTTTGATGCGCTTTTGAATATTTTATAGAAAAGGCGCAATACAAATAATAAATAGTATTGTTATTGCTATTGTTTAAAAATTATGGTAATACGGAGCTCCGGCGACCCGAATGGCCGCCAAGCGGAGCCCCATACCCATATGGAGAGAAAAGGAAACCCATGAATTGATTTTCTCATGGCTAGCGGTATTGCTCGTGGGCGCGTACGCACGACGACGACGACGACGATTACGGATTCACGCAAGATGGCGGCCATACTCCAGCTAATAGGTTGACAGAGACATGCACCCTCCGTTTGTAGCGTCCATCTTTGGTATTGGACATCCATGTTATGGTCAATTGACACCTATCGGAACAAGGTATTCGCTGACCAGTATCACGAGACCATATCGCGGGTCCAATTTTACAACTTATCGAGGTCACGTGTTTTGTTTTTGAAGTAGACCAAGCTGACCAAGTGCTGGTTTTCGTTTGGATCGCGGGCTCATGTCAGGTTAACTTGTTGGCCGGGGTGTTCCAGGATTATAAAAGTTAACCGAAGTATAATTTTTCTCGTGTACAAATGTTTTTCACTGCTTTCGTTTTGTGTATTTTGAGGACCTTCAGATTATTCAAACTCAAAACAAACGGAAAGCAACGGAAACGGAAAACCTCACCGTAAAGTTAAAAAAACCAAATCAAAATTCTCGCTTATCCTGGGTTAGCTTAATCGGGCTTTGAATATTTGAACATGTCGGTCCAGGAGCTCCGCTTTTAGGCTTGGCTAAATCTATATATTATAATATTTACGAGACAAAAATTTATTTTGTCATGCTCTTGGAGGTCGGGAGAATAGCTCATTTACAGGCAGACAACCGATGACAGTTTTGCTGCGGCGTGCTTTTTTTTGCAGAAATGGAAAGACGCCATCACTGAATCAAAGATTAAGTATTGCTCTAACACATCACAGTAAGTTTACTATGCTGATGGTGAATAGTTAAATATATCACTTCTTCGCAGATAAAAACTAAAAGAACTAAAAGCGAAACAAAAATCCTTTAGAATATTGGAAGTTAGTTATAAAAAATTGTTTTAACCAACAGAACATACTGTGTTGAATATGTTTCAGTTAGCATTCGAAAATAGCATACAACCTGTATGTCGATGTGTTTATTAAAATTAAATTATGCATTTGCATTATTTAGTGTAATGTATCTCATGTTAACAGGGAAGATGAAGAGGATGGTTACTCAGTTATTGGCGATAAGGTCTCTCAAAAGCCTGCACCTTCACTTCATGCCCAGTCAAACAGACCTCGACCCCCAGCACCTCTGCCGTCGTCGAAGCGACTGCATTCCCACTCTTCTCCCCCTGATCCTGGGACTGGGAGTAATCTGTCCCGCAACACCTTGCCATTCCCTTCGAGAAACCAGCCATTAGCCAGTGCAGACTATTCAAAGTCTAAGCCACTGCCTCGACCACCGTGTGACCCGAAACCGAGACCATTAACGATGGGTACGTTTCCAAGAAACAGGTCAGAATCATCTTCTCAGGCGACGCCAGCCCAGGGATTGGGTGATGTACTGAGTCAACTTGGAAATGTAAAACTTCGTTCGCCAGGTATAAAGGGTAATACATTTCTTGATCAATGTTTAACATAACAGGCTCGGAAGAATAAACCTCTGCCCTCAAATATCAGCCCAGTTAAACTCTTACCCCTTAGAATTCCAGCGAGTCACCAATAACGCATCTTGAGAAACTTAGCCTAAAGTTTTCAAGTCTTTCATTAGTAACCCACTGAAGTAAATATCGAAAGAGTCATTAATTTTACCACGGTAAAAGTGCCCCGCGTAAGCACACCTGTTCCTCCAGAGAAACCTATTGCGGATGCCAATGTATTGCATTTTAAGACAAATCAGTGGTACAGTGGTACTTAGCCTGTTAAATTTCCAGGTAAAGGAATTCTGCTGACACTGAGTTAAACCAATCCCAAGTCTCACGTCTGTAATGATGCCCGTAAGCTGCCATTTATTTCAATTTGATCCTGTTGAGATGCAAATTACACCATTGAATTTTTTTCAGGCTCTGCGTCTTCTTTGACGCTTTCCTCAAGAGATTGTTCTGCAGCACCTGGTAAACTTAAAAACGTGAACAGGTAAAGAGATTTACAAAAATTAGGCTGGAAATAATAACTACAGGTTTCCAAAGTAGAAATGTGGTGGTATCGGTATCCCAATTTGGTAGTATTTTTGCACCAGTACAATGGTGCTTTTCACCAATTCAATACAATGATGAATGAAATTACAAATGACAAATCCCCCTAGCCTCATACTAATTCATTGGGTTCGTTTAAATAAAATACGCAAAACAATTGGATAAAAATCAGTTAAATATATTTAATTGTGTGGCACTTAAAATGCGAGTCGTTTTTCAGGCGTTAGGACAAAGTTCTTACAGACAAGTTTCTATGTTTCTGATAGGGGTAACCCAGATGGACAAAGTTTCAAAAGAAAAGACAGAGAAGTGAGTTATTGAGATCTGGTACCTTAAGTAAAGTTATATACATTAAGTTTTAACCTGTCCCACGGACTAAATTCAAAAACTCTCTCGATTCAAGCTTTTTCTCTGTTGTTTCCATTTTTTTATTTATCTACTTCAACCCTTACCAAGTATTTGTCTTTTTGCAAAGAGCAGGGGACCCGTTTGAAAACACTCCATTTGGTAGTATTAGGAGACTGACCTCTCTTGGTAATCTTACCTCAAACAACAGAGTCACTTACAGTGGTAAAGTGCTATCTTTCGTGTGTTAAGACCAAGATCACCCCTCACTCAGGGAGAGAAACGTCTGCTATTGTTGACATTGATCACGGGTTGTGCTCGCGAAATAAAAGTCGTTTCGTTTAATTTGTTTCATTATTTTTAAAAGGCTGACTAGCTCGGTCATCAACACTTCCCCAACGTTTCGCAATAATGATACTATTTATTTGTCCAAAGTATAGTGATAATGGCCAATTCCCTCTACGAGACGTGCTCGCAAGGAATCATGTTAGTTGTATTCGTCATCTTGGACTAGATATTTGTTTTGATGAATACATGTACAACTACCATGATTCCCAGCATGGGCGTCTGGGTCATTAATATAGCAATAAAATATTTAAGGTTAGAATACCGTTAACTTTTCAGGTTCTTGTAGACCTTCCTCCATCTAGCCCTCACAACAATTCTCGATAAAGGGAAGATTTAAATTCCTGTGTTAAGTTAGGTGCCTGGAAAGTTTTATATTGAACCAGGAGCCATAATCGGGAACGGAGACCGTAAGCGAGCGCCATTTCTAGTATTGAGGCTGTCCCTATGATATGGGACAATTTTTCTATTTTTAGAACAAATTGCGTCATCTTGTGCGGCGCACGCGCGTACATGCTGCGAGGATTTTTGCGGATGTAGCGCGGGGAAATGGCGTCCGAAATTGCCGAAACGTTTGATACTTTAGGCCCACAACTCAATACGTTCATGTCTGTTGGAATTTTATTTCAGTATTTTCGTCGCAAGCTGCTCCAGTTTGAGTGAAGTAAGACAGTGTTGAATTAAGTTATGTGCCGCTTTATATCACTGAC